CCGTGTGGCGATCGCCAGTCGCCAGTGCCGCCGTGCGCTTCTGCTTTCGGGCCCCTGAAGCACACATGGCTGATAGATAATTGCCATGGGCTCTTGCTTCTCCACCTGGGCGGGATAGTCGGCCAGTGGTGTAAAGGCCACGCCAGTGGGGATACGTCAGGGGCGGCCTAATCGACCCCTAGTGAACCGTCCTCCTCCGTGACGTCTCCCTCGCCCCGCCCCAAGACGTGTACGTATGCGGCCAGAGGGAGACCTGGAGGGCGCGGGGGACGTCACGGAAGGTGCTCGTCACGGAAAGGGTCGGTGAAGCCGCGCCTGGGGCTCAAGAGTTGGGGGTCAATGCAAACGGGGGTCAGCCAGGGCACCGGATTTTGCAGGATCTTGCGAAGACCCCTCTTCTGGCTTACCCGGGTTAGCGAGCCGCTCGTGGCCGCGAGGCGGCCGCGCACATTGGTTGACCCGGGTTTGCGAAGACCTTCGTTGCAGTGCTTCTATCCTGCATTGCAGCTGTTTGGTTTCCTGCTGACCCGGGTCCGGATTGACCCGGGTCAGAAGATCAAGGGCTCCCCCGAGGGCGCGAAGTTATTCGCGCTTCGCGGTCCTCGTTTCTCCTCCCCCTCCTCCTCGTCCTCCTATTCTCCCTTTGGGAGGGCGGCGCGAGAGCGCGAAGTTATTCGCGCTTCGCGCTTCGCGGAGCGCGAAGCGCGAAGTTGGGAGCCCTAGGAAGATCCCCGACGCGCTCACGAGGGGACGATCGGCCGAACGGTGCTCACGAGGTCGGGCGGGCCGGGCGTGCAGGCGAGGCGCCGTGGCGTCGCGGTCGGAGGAGCGGCCGCGGCTGGCAGCGACGGCGAGGCAGGCCGTGGCGGAGGAGGCGAGCGGCACGCGCCTGGCACCTCGGGGGGGGGGAACACCAAAGGTTGCCCACAAGCCTGGACCAATCAAGGGCGCCCTCGAGGGCGCGAAGTTATTCGCGCTTCGCGCTTCGCGGTTCGGCTCCGATTCCCCCTCATCCTCCTCTCTTCTCCTGGGAGGCGGCGCGAGAGCGCGAAGTTATTCGCACTTCGCGCTTCGCGCAGCGCGAAGCGCGAACTTAGGAGCCCTTGACCAATTTTTGCCCCCATCTCCATCCCCAACCCTCGGCACGAACGAAGTGGGTACGGAAAGAAGGGGTACAACGCCCAGCAGCAGTTCCCGCTCATTTTGAGCAGGACTCGCTGTCCGCGCCGCCGCGGTCTGTGTCTGTTCGAGACAGATGGCCGCCTGCCCAACAGCGGCCGCTGATGATTTGGGACAACACTTGTTGTTGAGGGTTGTACCCATCCTTTCCGTACTCATTGCGGGCGTCCAAAACCCAATCCCACCATCCATCCCACCACCCCAGCCTGTGGGGCCCAGGCCACGCCCGATGGGGGGATGGGGATCGGTTCAGCGACGCTCAGTGTCGTTTGACCATGCCCACAAAATGTGGCGGCGGCATGAGGAGTAAGAGCACGGAGGACGAGACGGCGGAGGAGGAGGTGGCGTTCTCTTAGTCTAGTTAGTACGTTCTCTATCTCTCTCTCTCTCTCTCTTTCCTTGTCTCCCCCTCGCGAAGCGGATAGGACTGAGGCGGGCCAGCAAGCAGCGGCAAGGGGAGAGGAGGTCCTTGCGTCCCACTGCCTGCCTCTGGACAGCGCTGCTGGACGAGAGGGGGAAGCGGAGGAGGAGGACCCCCTCTCTCACTCTCTCGCAGATCCCCCCCCCTGTTACCAGTTTTTTGTTCGCTGGCTCCTGCACGTCGCGCTTGTTCCTGGACGTTTTTCGGCTTCGGGGCACCTTCCAGCAGGCAGGTGCTCCATGCCGAGGGGGCTCCGGGGGTGCCCGGATCGCCCCGAAAGGCCGCCGGAGAGCCGAGCGATGACCCTAAAGCCCAGGGGCAGCGCGAGGGGGGGGTCGGTTCACTTGGCATCGCTCGGACGTGTGCATTTTTCATCGGCAAGAGCCGTCGAAGAGAATTGTTGTTCACGTTGCCAAAAAAAAGACACGCACGAAACCGAAAAATGCACGGAGAATGGACGTCCAAGCGATGGCGAGCTCAGGGTTGACCCCCCAATCGCCCACGCATCGCCGAGGGGGGCCCGATCCAGGATTGTTAAGGGAGGGCCCCCCACACCGTCCTCTCAGGAGGGGGTGGAGCAGCGCCCCCGCGGGCGAAAGGTTGGCTCCCAGCCCTCCAGAGCATTCGTTTCCTGTTTTGGATAGAGCACAAGAGTCTCCATCCTTCTTTTCCCCCTTCTCCCCCCTTCTTCCTGCCTCGTGCCTCCTCCTTCTGCTCCTCCTCATCCTCATCCTCATCCTTGCCTCCCTTGCTCCTCCTTTCTTCTCCTGCCTCCTGCCTCCTCATCCCTTCTCCTCTTGCCTAGACGGCGACGGCTCCCTGGGAGGCTGCCCACTGCGCAACCATCGCCACTTCTCGTGGGCTCTTGGGAGGTCCAGCAGAGGCGGTGGGCAGGCGAGACCTCGCGGCTCCCTGGGAGGTCGCCACTTGCGCAAATGTCGCCACCTTCGTGGGCTCCTGGAAGGTCCAGCGGAGAATGGTCGCGCCGATCCAGGCGTTCACATTCATGTGTCGCCTCGCGCGGAGAAGGGTTTTGGTATGTCGTATGCCTCCGGTGCTCATTCTTTCCCCTGGGTATTTTGACCCACGATTTGCTCTTCATTCTGTGTTGCGTGCTCTGCTCCGCGTGATGTCGAGTGGGACGAATCTGGCGATCTGGGGCCGCCCAGGCACGGATTTTTATGGGCCCCAGGTGTTCCCCTAACTGTGCTTGCACTTCGAAGGTTCTTGATCCGATTTTTAAGGAACTGGGCCTGACCTTCGGTTTGTCTGCTATGTTGTCGTCGTCGTCGCCGCCCGTCGCCGCCTCGTCGCCGCCCGTCGTCTTGACTTGACCATCAGTGTGGCGGCTATGCTGTTGCCGTCGCCGCCTTGTGTCTGGACCTGACCGTCAGTCTGGCGGCCAGTTTGTCAACATCGCCGCCCCGTCGCCACCTCGTCGCCGCCCGTCGTCTGGGCCTAACCGTCGGTCTGACGGCTATGTTATCGCCGTCACCGGCCCGTCGCCGCCTCGTCGCCGTCTCGCCGCCCGTCGTCTTGGCCTGACCGCCTGTCTGGCGGCTTTGTTGTGGCCGTTGTCGCCCCATCGCCGCCTCGTCGCCGCCCACCTCGATTGCACCTCGTGGATTCTCCTTCCTAAAAAAAGAATAGGTTCTACCACCCTCCCCCCCGGGGTGAAAGAGATGATGACCCAATGTCCATCCTACCTGTGAATTCAGGTTATCCCAGCCAAACCAGTATCGTCCCCACCGCCATCCTCTGCAAACAATACTGTGCGCGCGCACTTGTTTATCAAAAATCATAAGTTTTCAAAAATCCCTTGCGAAAGCTGAGGCGAAGTACACGCGCGCGTCGTCGCGCTCGCATGCCGAAATTCTTCAAAAACTCTCGGTTTCGGAAGGATTTCAAAATCGAGTTTCGAAATAACGTACAAAAACACACGGTTTCGCAACACGGAGCTTCTAAAAAAGCTTACATGCGCGCTCTTGCGGAATCTGAAGAAAACCGGAGGTTTTTCAATACTTTCAGAAACTACTACCTAACGGGTTTCGCGCGCGCATGTCGAAATCGTTCGAACGCCCTTGCGCGCGTGTCGTCGCGAGAATCCTTTTTGCAAAACACGCAACGAAGTGCACGCGCGCGCGTCGTCGCGCGCGCATGCCGACATCCTTCAAAAACCTGCGGTTTCGGAAGGATTTCGAAATCGAGTGTCCAAACAAACATACAATACACAGGGTTTCGCAACACGGATGTTCAACAAAAGCGTGCGCGCGCGCGCTCTTGCGTCATCGTCGTCGTCGTCGTCGCCATTTTCCTTCCTCCCTCGTCGTCGTCGTCGCCGTCGTCGTCCTCTGTCCTTCCTCGTCGTCGTCGTCATCCTCTTTGGCGTCGTCGTCGTTTCCGTCGTCGTTGTCGCCGTGGTCGTCCTTCCTCCTCCATCGTCGCCGTCGTCGTCCGTCGTCGGCGTCTCGTCGTCGTCCCTCCTATTTCGTCGTCGCCGTCGTCGTCGTCGTCGTCGTTTTCTTTCCTCCCTCGTCGTCGTCGGCGTCGCCGTCCTCCCTCCTTCGTCGTTCGCGTCGTCGCCGTCCTCCCTCCGCCCTCGTTGTCGTCGTTGTCGCCGTCGTTGTCCTCTCTCGTCGTCGCCGTCTTCGTCGTCGTCGTCGTTGTTGTCGTCGACGACGTCGTCGTCGTCGTTTTCGTCGTCGGCGTCGTCGTCGCCGTCGTCATCGTCGGCGTCGTCATCGTCGTCGTCGGCGTCGGCGTCGTCGTCGTCGTCGGTGTCGCCGTCGTCGTCGTCGTCGTCGTCGTCGTCGTCGTCGTCGTTGCTGTCATAGTCGAAGTCGTCGGACACGTCGTCGGTGTCGTCGTAGTCGTCGTCGGCGTCGTCGTCGACGTCGTTGTCGCTGTCGTCGTCGGCGTCGCTGTCGCTGCAAAGTGCTATTTGGTACCCTTGGTCACGGTTGGAAGAAGTCGTGCGACCAAGTTGCGGGTGGGAGGGTGGTATGTTTGCACGAGCAGCGGAGATGACAGTTTCAAGACAGTCAAAGTGAATTGCACCACAGAGATTGCATCACATAGATCGCGCAACATATCTTGCACCACATAGATGGTACCGCATTGATTGCACTACGCATAGGTCACTTCATGTTTTGCATCACGTATACTGCAACACATAGGTTCCACCACAGATCTTGCACAACGTATATTGCAACACAAGCATTGCACCACATAGATTGCACCACGTTGGCATCACATCGGTTGCACCGCATTGGATGCACCACATCAAGTGCATCACGCAGCCTACATCACATGACGTTGCACCGCATCGATGGCCTCATGTATTTGTTCTCGTGTATATATATACATATGTATACACATGTATACACATGTGTTGATCATTATTTGTTGCCCCGCCTAGATTGCCACGCATTTGTTGCACCATCTGTACATTGCACAACTTATGCAGCAACATCTAGTTTGCACAACACATGTTGCAACATAGTTTTCTCATTCTGGTCAGCAACACAGACTTCACTACCTATGTTGCACAATGTAGATTGCATGTCCTAGACTGCCGTCTAACATTCGTGTTCCTTTCTGTTAGCAAAAGTGGACCCCAACCAGTACGTTGCGCTCAAACTCTGGCGTGCAATCTATGCTGTGCAATCTATGTGGTGCAATATGTGTGATTCATGCCATGCGTACAATACATGTGGGTGGTGCGATCTATGTAGTGCCATGCTCGCTGGACACTATATGTGTTGCCATATATGTTGTGCGATATATGTGGTTCCATCTTGTTGGTGTGATCGTTGTGGTGCGGTCTACGTTGCGCAATCTGTGTTGTACAATCTATGTAGTGCGACCTATGTGGTGTAATCCACGTGGAGCAAAACATGTGCGATCGATGTGCAATCTATGTTTTGGGATCTAAGAGGCGCAATCTATGTGGTGCAATCTCTGTGCAACCTGTGTAACGCAATATCTGTGGAGCAACTTATGCGGTGCAATCTTGATGGTGCAAGTTACGCGGTGCTATCGATGTGGCGCAAAGCAACCCCAACCAATGCACAGTGAAGCGGTTGCAAAGCAGTGCAATTGCAACGTAATGCAATGGAAGCAATGCGATGCAAAACGATGCAATACGATGCAACACGATGCATGGCACTGCAATCAATGCAAAGCAATGCGAAGCATTTCAGGCCCAGTCGACTGGCGGCGACAAGGCGGCGACGGGGCGGCGACGGCGACCACGGAGCCGCCAGACCGCCACGCTGGCCCAGACGATGGGCGGCGACGAGGCGGCGACGGGACGGCGACCACGGAGTCGCCAGACCGCCACGTGGGCCTAGACGACTGGCAACGACGAGGCGGCGATGGGGCGGCGACGGCGACCACGGAGCCGCCAGACCGCCACGCAGCCCCAGACGACGGGCTGCGATGTTGCGGCGACGGCCACCACGGAGCCGCCAGACTGCCACGCAGGCCCAGTTCCTTATCACAAGCAAGTAAGAAACCCAAAGTGCAAGCACTGTTTGGGAAAAACACAAGTTTGGGGCTCGCATTGCATAATCATATTTTCGAACGCGCGCCAGTGGATCACCCTGTAGTTGATTGAAAAGGGGGGGGTGCTCGCAGAACCCCCCCCCCATCCCCCCCTTAAAGGGGGGGGGGGGGGGATTTTCGACCCCCCCCCTCCCCCCCTTAAAGGGGGAGGGGGGTCCGAACCCCCCCCTCCCCCCCCTCCTCTTGAAGGAGGGGAGGGGTTCCGGACCCCCCCTCGCGCCCCCCTTTGGCGCTAGAAAAGAGGAAGGTTCGAACCCTCCCCCCTCCCCCCTCCTTTGCGCCGAACAGCGGGCCCGGGAGGAGGCCTGTCCCGCAGAGGGGGGGGTCTGGCCTCGGGATACTGAGTAGCGAATAGAGAGTAGTGAGTAATGAGTAGTGAATAGATACTAGCGAGTAGTGAGGAATGAGGAGTGAGTAATGAGTAGTGCGCAGTGAGTAGTGAGTAGTGAATAATGAGTCGTGAATAGTGGGTACTGGGGAGTGGGTAGTGAGTGGTGAGTAGCGAGTAGGGAGTAGCGAACAGTCAGTCGCAACTAGGGCATTGTGAGTAGTAAGTAGTGAGGATGGATTAGTCAGTAGTGAGTAGCGTGTAGGGAGTAGCGATCAGTGAGTAGTGAGTACACCTTAGGCGATGCTTAAGAAAACTTAAGTGTTCGGCCAGAGTCTCGATTATTCTTAATTTTTCAATGAAAATCCTAAGATTTTGGTGGAAATGTTGGGTTATTATTCAAGTTCTGAGACTATGAATTTCTTAACCCATGTTTTCTTAAGCATTTCGCAGGGTGTACTGAGTATCGAGTAGCGAGTAGGGAGTAGTGAGTAGTGAGAGGTGAGAAGTGAGAAGTGGTATTGAATTGTGGTTAGTGGTAGTGCGTGCGGAGTAGCGAGTAGTGGATCGTGAGCCGTGAGTTGGATAGTACGTCGTGAGTAGCGACTTGTAAATACAGAGCAGTGAGTATTGCGTTGTGCGTAGTGGGTAGTAAGTATTGCTGTATAGTGAATAGCGAGTAGCAAGCAGCGGTTAGTGAGTAGTGAGTTGTGGGCAGTGAGTAGTGAGTTTAGTGAGTAGTGCTTACTGAGTAGTGATAGTGGGTAGTGCTTAGTGGGTAGTGAGTACTAGCAGTGAGGAGTGTTAGTGAGTAGTGAATATTGAGTATTGGGTAGTGAGTAGTGAGTAGTGAGTTGGGAACAGTGAGTAGGGAAAAGGGCGTAGTGCGTCGTGAATAGTGGGGGCGTAGTCAGTAGTGAGTAGTGGGTAGGGGATAGTGCGTAACTGGTAGCGAGTAGGGTGTAGGAAGTACCGAGTAGTGAATCGTGAGTAGTGAGTGCTTTGTAGGGAGTAGCGAGTCGTGAATAGTGAGTAGTGAGTTGTGGGCAGTGAGGAGGGAGTAGTGAAGTGTGAGTAGGGAGTAGTAAGTAGTGGATAGTGGTTAGCGGGTAATGAGTAGTGATTTACACTTAGTGAGCGATGGGTAGTGAGTTGTGCGTCGTGAGTTGTGAGTATTGACTAGTGGGTAGTGAGTAGTGAGTAGTGGGTAGTGAGTGGTCAGTCGTGGGTAGAGACTAGGGAGTAGCGAGTATTGGGTAATGGGTAGTGAGTAGTGGGTCGTGCGTAGTGGGTCGTGGATATTTAGTGAGTAGTGAGAACTGATCAGTGAGTAGCAAGTATTGGTTAGTGGGTAGTGGGTAGTGAGTAGTGAGGAGCGACTAGGGAGTAGGGAGTAGTGAGTAGTGGGTATTGTGTAGTGGGTAGTGAGTAGTGAGTCGTGAGTAGTGTGTAGTGAGTAGTGAGGAGTGAGTAGTGAGGAGCGAGTAATGAGTAGTGCGTAGTGAGTAGTGCGTAATGAGTAGTGGGTGTTTTTTGGGATTAGGGTTAGGTCTTGGGGTTCGGGTTAGGGGTTAGGGTTAGGGGTTGCGGTAAGGGTGAGGATTAGTCTTAGGGGTGGTAGGGGTCGGGTTCCGGAGCGCGTGGGCGCCGTGAGGGGTGGTAGGTGTCGGGTTCCGGGGCGAAAAGGGGGGAGGGGGCGTGGGTCGAATTCGCGGGCCAACGGGGGGGAGGGCGGGGGGGTTCGGACCCCCCCCCTGCATTTTGAAAGGGGGGGAAGCGGGGGGGGTCCCCGACGACGGATCGGTAAAGGGGGGAAGGGGGCGGGGGGGTTCCCGACGATGGATCGGGAAAGGGGGTGGGGTCCCCGACGACGGATCGGGAAAGGGGGGGGGAGGGGTTCCCCCCCCCCCCCTGGGGAGATCCAGCGGCGCACCCTCCATATTTTCAGCGGAGGGCGAGTTCAGACAACGGCAGTTGGCCTTCGAGGGAACCCCCTCGTCGCCATGGTCGGACGCAGCCCAGAAGACAAGTGCCCTTGTCTCAATTAGCCCTGCTCCGATCGATGTTCACTCCCGCGGATGTCTCGGACCGGCGCTCTATCCACCCTGGCCGCACCTCCAGGGCGCGTTTCGCGCGCCAGTGAGGGGGGGGGTCCAGCGACCCGAGTTCAGAAGTCCACGCGGATTTTCGAAATTGTGTAGTGTTCTGCTCCGCGAGGCGCACCTGGTGGCGGGGGCGAGGCAGGCGCTGCTGGAGCAGAGGGAGACTGGCATCAGCCCCAAATGCTGATCTTATATGTGTATATATATATATATACATATGTATACATATATATATATATATATGTGTGTGTGTGTCTTCCCCTCATGGCGCGAGTCGCGCATGCACCACAATTTCGTGGTACTGATACGTAGCACCCCGCAGTTGCGAGTAAGCTGCCGAACGGTCATTCGTTGCCCCTGGGTGCGTGGTTGAAGTGGGACTCCGCGGCGCGGATTATGCTTGTTGTTGGTGCTGTTGGTGTTGGTTTTGGTGTTGTTGGTGTTGTGGTGTGTGTGTGGTGTTCGTGTGTTGATGTTGTTGTTGTTGTTGTTGTTGTTGGTGTTGATGTTGTTGTTGTTGTTGTACATATTGTTGTTGCTGTTGTTGCTGTTGTTGGTGTTGCTGTTGTTGGTGGTGTTCATGTTGCTGTTGTTGCTGATGTTGGTGTCGGTGGTAGTGCTGGTGTTGCTGTTGTTGCTGATGCAGTAGTAGGTGTTGTTGTTGTTGATGTTGTTGGTGTTGTTGTTGTGTTGTGGCTGTACTTGGGGCTGTTATTGTTGTTGGTGTTGTTGTTATTGGTGTGATTGTGTCTGTTGCTGATGCTGCTGATGCTGTTGTTGCTGCTGGTTTTGCTGCTGCTGTTGTTGTCGTTGTTGTTGTTGTCGTTGCTGTTGTTGCTGTTGTTGGTGCTGCTGTTGCTGTTGTTGTTGTTGCTGTCGTTGTTGTTGTTGTTATTGTTGCTGTTATGTTTGTTGTTGTTGCTGCTGCTGTTGTTGTTGTTGTTGCTGTTGTTGTTGGTGTTGGTGTTGTTGTTGTTGTACATATTGTTGTTGTTGTTGTTGTTGCTGTTGTTGGTGTTGCTGTTGTTGGTGGTGTTGATGTTGCTGTTGTTGCTGATGTTGGTGTCGGTGGTAGTGCTGGTGTTGCTGTTGTCGCTGATGCAGTAGTAGGTGTTGTCGTTGGTGTTGAGGTTGCTGTTGGTGTTGTTGTTGTGTTGTGGTTGTACTTGGGGCTGTTATTGTTGTTGGTGTTGTTGTTATTGGTGTGATTGTGTCTGTTGCTGATGCTGCTGATGCTGTTGTTGCTGCTGGTTTTGCTGCTGCTGTTGTTGTCGTTGCTGTTGTTGTCGTTGCTGTTGTTGCTGTTGTTGGTGCTGCTGTTGCTGTTGTTGTTGTTGTTGCTGTCGTTGTTGTATTTGTTATTGTTGTTGTTATGTTTGTTGTTGTTGTTGTTGCTGCTGCTGCTGTTGTTGTTGTTGTTGTGGTTGTTGGTGTTGTGGTTGTTGTTGTTGTTGTTGGTATTGTTGTTGTTGTTGTTGTTGTTATTGTTGTTGATGATGATGTTGTTGTTGTTGTTGTTGTTGTTGTTGTTGTTGTTGTTGTTGTCGCTGCGCGTTGCGTGGGTCCCAGCGAGGGCCCCCCCCTCCCAAGAGGAGAGGCCGAACATGGAGAAACAACTTTTCGCCATGGTTTTTGTTCGCGACGCGAGGGTGTCTGGGACCCTTCCCACCCCTCGCCCCTCGGCGACGAGCTCCAGGGGGGATGCAGCAGGGGGAGGGCCTTCTCAGGAGGCTCGGCAGGCCTCGGGTCTTCTGGAAGAGTTCCCTGGCCTTTCCCCGAAGACGCAGAGAGCGGATCTGAAGGCATGAGGGCGTCGGAGAAGCCCCGCCGCCTCCCGAGAAGGCCCGCCTCCTCTCAGTGCCCCCCTGGGCTTGCCGCCGAGCCGCCGCCAGGAGAGGGAGGAAGGCCAGCTGGACGAGGCGGCGCGCCTCGGCCTTCTCGCAGCCCTCGGCAGCCCCCAGTGTTCGCCGCTGCCGCGCTGCTACTGGTGCGGCGCGGCGCTGGTGAGCCTGCAGTGCCTGCTGGCGGCCCTGAGGCAGCTCGGCGCCGCCGTGCTGCAGCTGGAGGGCGCGTGCATCCCCAGACCCCCCACGTCGTGCTTGTTTCACGACGTCTCGTCCCTGGGGACAGGCCTTCTCTTCATCCGACAGGCTGGGGTCGCGAGGCTGAGCTGAAGAGGAGGTGCTAGCCTGCGTGAGCCCAGGGCATTGAGTTGTCGCGCTGCGGGGTGAACGCTATGCGGAGCCGGCTGTGTCGTGTTATATGCTAGCTACGTTGTGCAAGCTCTGTAGCTTCATCTAGGTGCTGTAAGCTATGTGGTGTACGTTACGGTGTGATAGCTACGGTGTGTCAGCTATGCGGCGTGACCTCTGTGGTTTGGTTGTGGCATATATGGTCCAGGGCTTGGGCCCCCCCCCCCCCAATGCTGATGCCATTGGCCCACCCCTCCCCCCCGCGCGATGGTCCCCCCCGCCCCCCCCCTGTGGGCGTGGCGTGGTGCTGCGCTGCGGTGCCCCCCTCCCCCCCCCCGTGGATGTGGTGTGGTGCTGTGGTGGTTCAGAGGTGGGCGTGGCGTGGTGCTGCGCTGCGCTGCCCCCCTCCCCCCCCTGTGGATGTGGTGTGGTGCTGTGGTGGTTCAGAGGTCGTCGTCGTCGTCGTCCTCGTCGTCCTCGTCGTCCTCGTCGTCGTCGTCGTCGTCGTCGTCCTCATCGTCGTCGTCGCCGTCGTCATCGTCGTCATCGTCGCCGCCGCCGCCGGCGGCGTCGTCGCCGCCGCAGCCGTCGTCGTCGTCGTGGTCGTCGCCGTCGTCGTCGTCGTTGCCGTCGTCGTAGTCGTCGCCGTCGTCATCGTCGTCGTCGTCGTCGTCGTCGTCGTCGTCTCTGGGACCATACCATCTGGGGGGGGGGGCCCGAGGAATCCTGGGACCATACCATCTGGGGGGGGAGGGGGGGGGGCCCGTGGGCCCGGAGCCCGGGATCATATATGCGCTTCAAGCTATGCGGTGCGAGCTATGTTCTATTCCGTGTAAGCTATGGTACCCACCCAGGGCACGCTGAGCCCACGAGCGACGACGACGCGCACACGGGCGGGCACCGGGCGGCGACTCTTCGGCGGACCCAACCAGAGCGCTCGCGAGCGCCCCAGCGGCGCCCACGAGCGGTCACCGGGCGAGACCTCGGCGCGGAGCCGCCCGCGGGCGGGCACCGGGCGCGACCCCGGCGGACCCGCCAAGGGCAAAGGGCCCCCCCCCCGCGGGCGCCCACGAGGAGCTCACGGGCGGGCTCCGCGCGGGAGACCTGGGCGGGCCCAACCAGGGGGCGCACGGAGCGCCCGCGAGCGCCCACGGGGTGAGCACCGGGCGGAACCTCGGCGGAGTTCCAGCGGCCCAGCGGCGCCCACGAGGCGCCCACGGGCGGGCACCTCGGGCGGAACCTCGGCGGACCCGTCAAGGGCGCGGGCGGGCGCCCGCGAGCAGCCCAGGGTGGTGGGAGTCTGGACGATCCTCGGCGTGCCCGTCCTATGGCTTCAGGACGCGACGTTACGAGCTTCTCCGTGCAAGCAGGGCTTGGTGGATACCTCCGTGCTCCGGCCCGCCTCGCACACCTTGCATTCAGCGGCACCGTAACGGGTACTCACTGACGGGTACGTTGGAGATTTGCCGGAAGTTGCCACTTTAGGGCCTCTTTCTGGCATTGCAGCGTTGCCCACATCGGAGAGGGTTGAGTTCGCAGAGGGTTAAGTTCGCTGGGTCACTGGCCAAAGTGCTCGTTAGTGGAGTCCCCGTTCGAGTGGCGCTGATTGCATTCCGCGGCCGCCAGGCCCCAAGTTGCCCGCTGGTCCCTGGAGCTTCCGCCTGCCGTCTTCGACGGGTGGCGATGTGGTAGGCCGCTGCCGGCAGGCCCCCGGGGGCCCGGTGATCCCTTTGGGGTCCGCCTCGTAGGCTTGTGGAGGACGCTCAATGGAGAGGACGCATGCTGCCAAATACTTTCCAGATGTCCAAAACATGTTTTACGAATGATGAAAACATGTTTACAACATGTTTAAAACATTCTTCTGACATTCCGAACACATGTTAAATTAAACGATAAGGGTGTTAGGGTGTCCATTGCCTTGGCATCCACAACTCTTGCCGCAGGACTCCTCTCGGACGGTAAATGAGCCTGGCGAAGGACCCAACCATATGCCGTTGTGAGTACCGCAGGTGTGAATATCTTTGCCGGTGGCGCTCCCTATGGAGCCACGAACCGTATGAGCGGTGCGCCGAATTGCGTGGCGGGGTACACGACACGAACGAAGACGATAGGTCGAACTACGAGAGACTGAACGCGGGAGAGTCTGAGCGCGAGTGAGTCTGAGTGTGAATGAGTTTGCGCGCGAGCGAATATACTTGCGTGAGTGCGAACATGGCCACGCCGGGCGTTTATATACATACATACATAACCGCATGCCGATGATAATAAAGGGACCCCCCCCCCTTCAGTGTTTAGAGTTGATTATCGTCGCCCTATACAAAATTCAAATGGGGCGGCGAGCGCTGAGGCCGAACTTCATTATCACCTCGAAACGCTATGTTGAGATAGCAACATCAAGCGATGTTGCTATCCCCGCGCGCGCCTGAACTTTTTTATCTCTGGGGTTGATTATCCATGGAAAGGGGAGCACATGAGCTACCCTACATGAGCACTTTAAAAAATCAATTTTCATAACGCGTTTGTAAATTAAAATTGATAGATTTGGAACTTTCCATTTTTCCGTTCTTCTTCTCTTCTTCGTCTTCTCTTCTTCTTCTCTTATTATTATTATTCTACTTTCCTCTTCTTCTATATTTCTATATGTCCTCACGCTCGCCTGAACTTTTTTATCCCTGGGGTTGATTATTCATGGAAAATGAAGCACATGAGCTACCCTACGCGAGCACTTAAAACAATCAATTTTCATATAGCCTTAGTAAATTAAAATTGATAGATTTGGAACTTTGGATTTTTCCTTTCTTCGTCCTCTTATTATTCTCCTCTTCTTCTTTCTTATTATTATTCTACTGTATTCTTCTTCTTTTATATTTCTCTCTGTCCCCACGCTCGCCTGAACTTTTTTTTGTCTCTGGGGTCGATTATCCATGGAAATTGAGGCACATGAGCTACCCTACACGAGCACTTACAAAAAACAATGTTCATAAAGCGCTTGTAGATAAAATCTAATAGATTTGAAACTCGAGATTTTTTCTTCTCTTCGTCCTTCTCCTCCTCCTATCATTTCTTTTATCTTATTCTTTATTCTTTTTAATTTTTCTTTTTATATATAGCTTCCTCCATTCCAGCGAGATAAGCCATTGTTGAGGATATTTGTATGAAAACTAAACGCCAAGGATGTATCAAAACGTGCTCGGCTTGGTCTCCTCTTGATCATCTCTTACTTCGAGATTATGCTGAGGTCTGCTGGGCTACTTTTATTATCTCTCCCTGAACCCCCAACTGTATTATCCCCTAGTGTTTATTCTCACGGGCATGAGGTTATATACACATATATATATATATACACATACATACATACACATATGAATGTGAATGGGTAACGTATGCCTGACCCTGAATTCTCGTGACACCGAGCGTGGCCGCCGCAGGAAGCTTCCCCTGTAACCCCGACAGCAGCGCCCGCACACCGCGACGCCCATGTCGGCACGCTCCTCACGAGGATCGCGCCCGCTTCCTTCCCGTTGTTGTTCTCTCTCTTTGCCCGTGCACGCTCATGTCCAAAGCTGCGCGCGCGGCGCCGCACGGAGTCCCCGCGACGCGCGCTGGTCGCCTTGGAGGGGTCCTCGCCACGCGCGCGGGTCGTCCGTTGCGCGGAGCAGAGAGAGAGAGAGAGAGAGAACAAAAAAAAGCTAGCTGGCTGGCTGATAGCGGGCACGGCTGTGGCCGCTGTGCAGAGCGACGACGGGGGCGAGCGAGACTCTGGGCAGAGCACGGCGCGGAATTCCCGCGACGCGCGCTGGTCGCACCGAGAGGGTCCCAGGGACGCGCGCGGGTCGCCCGCGGCGCGAGGCCAAACCGTCAGACCGTCAAGAGACGGCGAGGCTCGGGCGGGTCGCTCTTCAGGTCAAGCCTCGCGGATAAACTCGGTGAAGGTCCGTTCCCTGGCGACGGCCGCCGCCTCCCTCCTGCACCGCTTCGTGCGCGTGGCAAACTGCTCCAGCTGCTTCCGCAAACCCTCCGGCGGCCCTGCCGGGAAGAACTCGACGCGCGGCGCCCGCGTGAGCAGGAGGTCCTCGTGGCGCGTGGCGCGCGAGAGCAGCGCGTAGAGCTCCAGTCGTCGTCCTCCTTTTTTGCGTTCCCCATTTCGTGGCGGCCGCAGGATCACGCCCGGGTCATGTCGGCCGAGGAAGCAGCGCGCGGGACATGCGGCGCCATGCGAACTTCGCCACTGGGACCTCAGGTGGAGCTCCCTATGGGTCCACGAAGCGTGTGAGGGGTGTGCCAAAAAGGGGCGGCGGCGCCATGCGAGCGGCGCCACTGGGACCTCAGGTGGAGCTCCCTCTGGGGCCACGAGCCGTGTGAGGGTGTGCCCAAATGGGGCGGCGGCGCCATGCGAACTGCGCCACTGCGACCTTAGGTGGGGCTCCCTCTGGGGCCGTGTATGGAGTGTGCCCAAATTGGGCGGCGGCGCCATGCGAACTGCGCCATTGGGGCCTCAGGTGGAGCTTTCTATGGGCCCACGAAGCGTGTGAGGGGTGTGCCAAAATGAAGCGGCGGCGCCATGCGAGCTGCGCCACTGGGACCTCAGGTGGAAGCTACTTGTGGGGCCACGAAGCGCGTGAGGGGTGTGCCACAATGGCGCGGCGGCGCCATGCGAACTGCGCCAGTGGGGCCTGAGGTGGAGCTCCCTGTGGGGTTACGACACGTGTGAGGGGTATGCCAAAATGGGGCGGCGGCGCCATGCGAGCTGCGCCACTGGGATATTAGGTGGGGCTGCCTATGGGGCCACGAAGCGTGTGAGAGGTGTGCCCAAATGGGGCGGCGGCGCCATGCGAGCTGCGCCACTGGGACTTCAGGTGGGTTCCTTATGGGGCCACGGAACGTGTAAGGGGTGTGCCCAAATTGGGCGGCGGCGGCATGCGAATTGCGCCATTTGGACCTCAGGTGGAGCTCCCTATGGGCCCACGAAGAGTGTGAGGGGTGTGCCACAATGGGGCGGCAGCGCCATGCGAACTGCGCCATTGCGACCTTAGGTGGGGCTTCCTATGGGGCCACGAACCGTGCGCGGGGTGTACCTAAATGGGGCGGCGGCGCCATGCGAACTGCGCCAGTGCGACCTTCGGTGGAGTTCCCTCTGGGGCCACGAAACCTGTGAGGGGTGTGCCAAAATGGGGCGGCGGCGCCATGCGAACTGCGCCAGTGGGGCTTCAGGTGGAGTTCCCTATGGGGCCGCGAAACGTGTGAGGGGTGCACCGAAACAGGAACATTATGAAGGCAAGGGCAAAGATTGGGAGAAGGGAGGAGGGGCGGAGGGAGGAGGAGGAGGACGAGGACGAGGAGGAGGAGGAGGAGGAGGAGGAGGAGGAGGAGGAGGACGAGGACGAGGACGAGGACGAGGAGGACGAGGAGGACGAGGAGGACGAGGAGGACGAGAAGGCGGGAGTGAGGGAGGGAGGGCGGGACGCGGGGCGCTGTCTCTTCAAATCGAGGACCCAACACCACAGGATGGTTGGGAAAAAACAATGCCTTTGACGACCAGGGCCCGGCAACGAGGCCTCCCAGAGAACGAGCATGGCCAATCCGTTTGCCGCCGCGGTTCTTCAGTTCCAGGGGGCAACGCATCTACCCCCCCCTTTGGGCGTGTTTTGGGGTCCGTCTCGGCCAGAATCTCGAGGCAGATCCGGCCGTGTCGGCGAGACGCCCCTTCCAAGAGCCCCCCAGCAGGGGGAGGGCGCGCAACAAAGTTGTTTTTGAGGCGGGGTCACGCCATACTTACCATGTGTGCAGGGCTCAACCACGTCTGATCGCTCCCCCCCTCCTCCCCCCGCGCGGCCGCCCTCGTCTTTGTCCTTCCTCGCGCACGCCGGGCAATTCGCTTGTCGGTTGCCCCGAATGGTCCCGCGCTGGAGCGGACCGCCTCCGCCTCGCCGCCGACGGAAACAGCGTGTCCGCACGGGCGACGCCAGCGCACCAAGAAATTCTCGTGCCTGGTGACGCGCGTTCTCTGGCCATGCCGCTCGGGCAGCGATGCCCTATAAGAATTTTGTGCCATATGTTCGGGGCGGTGGTGCGCCCCCAACAGAAGCTCATCAAGGTGCAAGTGTCGCCGCAATTCACCCGACACCGCTGGTTGGCTTTTCACTATACGTCGTTCTTGAGCGGCCTTTTTTCAGACTAGTTGAGGCGCGTATGTAGTAATAACTATTTGTTGAGCACTCCCTCCGTTGACTCGCGCTAGGTTGTTGGCCAAGTGCCTCCCCGTCCGCGCAACTCGATGTGCTTGCCTCAACTTTCGAGTGCGGAGGCAAGGTCCCCACAGCGCGACTCCAGCTTTGTGTGTCCTGCTGGGGACAAATCATGACATGCACAAGCTCCACGAGTTCCGCGCAGAGTTCTTGGATCGGCGCTGGACCCTCCTTGGCGAGCGGAGCGCGCCACGGGCGGCGCCGGAGGCGCCGCAAAGGGAGTCCAGAGCCGATCCAAAAAATCCGCGCGGACCTCCAGAAGTTTTCGTTGGTCATGCCATGATCTGTTCACCGAGGTTGATGATGGAGAGATTTGCTGTGAGTCCGTCTGCGTTCAGGAGAGGAAAAAAACACCCTGACACAGCGAATCGTCGATTCTCCAGGAATTATGGGACAGCATGGGCAGTGGAGGGGGAGACGAAGCTCCAGGAAAAAGCGAAAGTCTGGGGGATATTGGAGTGTATGTGTATTTGTGTGTATGCGTGTGTGTGTGTGTGTGTATGTGTGTGTGTATGTGTATGTGTCTGTGTGTGTGTGTGTGTGTGTGTGCGGGTGCGGGTGTGGGTGTGGGTGTGGGTGTGGGTGTGGGTGTGGGTGTGTGGGTGTGTGTGTGTGTGTCTGTGTCTGTGTCTGTGTCTGTGTCTGTGTCTGCTGTGTCTGTGTCTGTGACTGTGACTGTGTCTGTGTCTGTGTCTGTGTGTGTGTCTGTGTCTGTGTCTGTGTGTGTGTGCGTGTGCGTGTGCGGGTGCGTGTGCGTGTGCGTGCGTTGTGTGTTGTCCGTTGTGTGTTGTTTGTTGTATGTTGTGTGCTGTGTGCTGTGTGTTGTGTGTCGTGTGTCGTGTGTTGTGTATGGTGTGTGGTGTGTCGTGTGTCGTGTGTCGTGTGTCGTGTGTCGTGTGTCGTGTGTCGTGTGTCGTGTGTTGTGCGTGCGTGCGTGCGTGCGTGCGTGCGTGCGTGCGTGTGTGTGTGTGTGTGTGTGTGTCTTTGTGTGTGTGTTTGTGTCTTGGCCCCATCGCCCGTCGTGAGTTCTCCCACCACGAGGGGGGTCTCGGTCTCCCCGGGCGCGGCGGTCGCGGCGGCCGCGCGCGCCGCGGCGGCCGGGGCGCGGCTGGAGCTGGACCCGCGGCTGGCGGCCCTCGCGGCGCGGCTACTGCCAGAGGCCCCTTGGGGCCCGCGGGCAGGAGCCGAGGGAGGTGCACCAACGAACACCGAGGATCAGGAAGAGAGCATCCGTTTTTTTTCACTGGCCATGGCTCCAGACCTCCTAGTCGGGGTCCGAGGAGGTGGGGTCGGAGGATCGCGCCGCATCGCCGACGCCTCGGCGATGCGGTTCGATGTGGAGCCCGATCTTCTCCACCGTGGCGTCGCCGATGCATCGCCGACGCCGCCGATGCATCGCCGATGCATCGCCGACGTCGTCGATGCGTTTTCTCATTCACTGTTTTGCCGATCGGCGCAGGCCTTCGCGCTCCCCCCCCCCGTGGATTGGATCTTGGCCGTTTTTGGTCGCCTGGCTAAGAGCAGCCAGTTTCCCCCCCCCTTTCGCCCAATGTCGAAACTCCGAATATCATTCGGCGTTTCGACATTGGGCGGAAGGGGGGGGGGTCGCAATGTCGAAACGCCGACTAATAGTTTGGCGTTTCGAAAATGAGAAGGTTTTCTTAAAGAAAGCCTTCCCATTTTGTGTATCCCTTATTCCCTTACCAGAGAGGGCGTGACTGGTCGGGGGGGGCGGGGGCGGGCGGGCCAGGGGGGCAATGGGTCCGGTCCCGGTCCCGGGGCGCGACATGCGCGGCCTGGGGAAGAATGTGTTCATGAGTGGCAGATGCCCACGTTGGGATGCAACTCCTGGGAGGCCAAATTCTGATTTTGCACTGGTCCGAAGTCCGGCTTAATCCGGCTTACTCCCGCTTAATATGGCTTAATCCTGCTTGATCCCGCTTAACCCCGCTTAATCCGAGGCCCACTCCCGCGTAATGGCTCCCACATGGGGCTTGATCCTCTTGAATCTTTCCGACGAGAACCTCCCAGCAGTTGCCTCCTAAGGGGGGGGCGGGGCCGGTCGCGGGATTTCTCGCGAGCGGATTCGAGCTTACAGAAGCGTAAATGGTCGGAGGTCGGCGCGGGCTTCCGCAAGTTCATGGTGTTGTCATTGTTTGCTCCTCGACAACACACGGGGTGTGCCCCCTCCCCCCCACCCCAACCACCCGCGCTTTCTCTTGCCTTTTCTGGCCAGCGCGCAGTTCCTGCGAGCTGCTCAGCAAGGTGGTTTGCCGACTTGCTTCTCGGGACCGCGCTGGTGATCAGAGTTGGTGCGCATACTTCCTGTCCTGTCCTCACCGCCCACCCCCCCCTCACACGGGTCGGACGAGAGGGGAGGATTGGGAAAGTCGGGGGGGCACATTGTCAGCCACGCGAGGAGGGGCCTGGGGGGAGGGTGCAGGGCTTCTTAGAAGCACTCCTGCTTCTTCGAAGGCGCGGGCCTTGTCTATAGATGCTTACCAGCCTGGAACATATCCCCAACCCTATGATTGGCACCGCCTTATCTTGAGGATTCCCTTAGTTTCCGCCGATCCAATTTCAAGGATCCCCTCAGGCTCTGAGGACGCATCCCTCAGATTGTCATCGCCTTTTGTTATGTCAATCTTAGGGATCTGGATAGGTTCGAGGCTGGTTAGATGCAGGGCTAGCGCCTTCAAAGCAGCAGCCTCCTTCCAAGGAGCCTCCGCTCCTCCCCTCCAGCCCACCTTATGCGCACCCTGTCCCTCCTGTCCGAGCTGGCCCCCAGATGGCCTCCCTCAGTCTTGAGGCGGGCATGTCGCTCTACAGGAGGAAAATTCAAAACAGTCAGCAAATAGTATGGGGACGATTTTTCTAATATTTTTGATATGTTGTTTGCATTTTTGACAATCGTTCATGTTTCCTCCAGAATCCGCCTGTGGGAGGACATGCCCGACCTAACCACCTCAGTCGTCCGGGCCTCCTTGCTGGGCAGCTCACGCAGGCGAGAGTGGTTCAAGACGTCCCAGGAGCTTCAGAGAAATTCCCAAGAGCGTCCATGACGGCCCCAGCTTCCAGATTCGAGGGAGGAAAGACCACCTTGGTCCCAATGACTGTCGTTCGCTGAACGGTCCCGCGCGTTTTCTAAGGGGCCATGTCCTGTTCGATTGTCTTGGTCGGTGCGCTTACTAGATGATAGCATTGGTAGTGGTGGGCATGGTGCGGATGGCTTGCCTGCCCTCGCAGGACGCGGCAGCGGCGGCGGCCGAGACGCGCTGACGGCAGCAGCTCCAGAAAGCGGTCCATTCTCTGCCCCGTTGCCCGACGCGCGAATATCTCGAGCTGCATTCGCGCGCTCGCGCCGCCATTTTGCAGAAGGCCCAGACCTCCGATGCCATGTTTCCCCAATCAGTGCTTCCAATGAAGGGGTCCTAGCAGATATTGAAAGAATTGGCGAAAGTCCTGGCCGATTTCGGTCGCCAGTTGAGTTTCCGGGGTGTCCCGGTTCTGGGTTCCTCGGTTTTTGGTTGGTTGCTGGTTCTGGGCCGGTTTCGGGATCCCACGATGGAGCTCACCATCGATCTCCGTGTTTTTCCCTCCCGGTTCACGGATTGGAGGTTTGATCTGGTGTGATTTGTTTTGAGTGCCCCTCCCCCTTCCCTTGACCCACTTTTCCACTGCTGGGCCCCCTTCTCGACCCCTTGCTGCCGGGCCCGGCGGTGCTCGTACTCGGGGTCAGCGGCTTCGCGGACGGGCCCGGGGTCCGCAGCGGGCCCGAGAGCGTGCAGAGGGCAGTCCTTTTCGCCCTGGCGTCATTCAATGCGATGGCGTTGACGACGACGACGGCGACTACAACGACGGCCAGCGACAACGACGACGACGAGCACGACCACGACCACGACCACGACCACGACCAGGTCCAGGACCGCGACCACGACCACTACCACGACCACGACCACGACAACGACAACGACCGGCGACGGCCACAGCGACGATCACGTCTCCGGGCCGCCCGCCCCGCGCCCGCGGCGCGGCCTCCTCGCAGGCCTGCTGCGGGGCAGCTCGGAGGAGCAAGAGGTGATGATAATGGCTCTGGTATCGCTCGGACGTGTGCACTTGTTCTCGGCGGGGATTATCAAGGAGCATCCTGGATCGTCCCGCAAAACAAACCACGCACGAAACCGAAAAAAGCACAGGGAATGGACGTCCGAGCGATGGCCAGTGGCAGGCTTGGAGCTGGGTCTGCTGCCGCTTTTCGCGCCGCCGCTGCTGCTACCTTCAGGAGGGAAAGAAACACACAGACACAATTAATCGTCGATTCCCCGGAAAATATGGGAAAATATGGGAAGTGGGGGGAAGACAAAAACCCAGAAAGTATGGGAAAATACGGGGAGTGCAGTTGTTTGTGTTTATTTATGGTGTGTCCCAGGGCCCCTTCATGCCTCAGCGGCGCAAGAGGTCACGATAATGGCAAACTTGCAGCTGGGTCTGCTGCCGCTTTTCGCGCCGCCGCTGCTGCTACCGCGGCCGCGGCCTCTCGTCGCACTGTGCCTCTTTCGGTGTGTCGCGTGGGGCGCGGCGACGGCGGGCGGGCAGCGTCCGTCGACGGACGCCTCGAGCCCACGCTCCCGCGGCATGCCCAAGAAGAACAGGGCCATGATAACGATACGCTCCTTGACGTCCAGGGGGCCCAGGGATACCCACAGTTTATACTTCCTCCTCCCCCTCCCCCTCCTCCTCCCCCTGCTCCGGCTCCTCCCCTTCCCCCTCCCCTTCCTCCTCCTCCTGGGCCCGCCGCGGTTGCGTCCATAGCGGACGCCCGTTGATCCTCGATCCTCGGTCCTCCTCCTCGTCCTCCTCTTCCTCCTCCTCCTCCTCCTCCTCCTCCTCCTCCTGCTTCGCCCCCCTCCTTCGCCTCCCCCTCCTCCTCCTTCGCCCCCTCCTCCTCCTCCTTCGCCTCCCTCCTCCTCCCCCTTCGCCTCCCCTCCCTCCTCCTCCTTCGCCTCCCCTCCCCTCTCCCCCCACCTGCTGCGCCGCTGGACACCTTGGAGAGCCTGGAACGTCGCGCCTCGTCCCCGGGCCGTCGCGCCCTCGCGCCGCCGCCCCGGCGAGGGGCAGCTGCTCCTGGCTGCGAGGCCCGCCCCCGCGGGAGGGGTGCCCCAAAGGCCCCCAACGGGGCCCCCAAGAAGCCTTTGAGTCGGGCCTGTCCCCCTACAGGAGGAACACTCAAGAATAGGAAACACATAGTCTGGGAATGATTTTTTTTGGAGCATTGTTTGGTTATTTCTGCTATTTCGCACAAGCTCCCCCTGTAGGGGGACATGCCCGACTTAAAAGAAGCTCCCCAGAGGGCCGAAGAGGCCTCCCACGAATGGTTTTTGACTGGTTTTCCAGATTTCAGCCTTCAGTGGTTTCTGACGGATGTTTGACGTTTCAGCCTTTTTGGCATCCCGACGCTACACGACGGCCCAAGAGGGCACTTCGGTTCAGGGGCACCTCTGGCAGCCAGAATCGAGCTTCCGTGGGGGCCGTTACCATGCCCCCCCCAGTGAGAAGCTGCCTCTGGGGACGTGGTTGTTTCAGCTCTCGGGCCCAAGAGCCCAAGAGGTGTCGGGCCCTCCCCCAGGGGGCAGCTTCTCGGCGGGGGCCTTGGGCGGGGCCTGAAAACGGCCCCCGCGGAAGCGCAGCTCCGGCTGCTGCCAGAGGTGCACTTGGCCCAAGGTGTCCCCTGGGTTTCCCAAGGAGGCCCCCACGGCCTCCAGAGCACCCCTCACGAGGCCCAGTGGCCCTCGGCCGGGGGACTCCAGAATGGAGCGGAGCAGGGACACCCTCAGCAGCCCCTGAGACTTCCTATCGAAAACGCCGCCGCCCGCGGCTGCAGCGATCAGTCCGCCGGAGGTTTCGTGGCAGTCAGGAAATTGAATACCTGATTTTCTCGGTCGCGATCAGTGGCGACCGATCGGCACTCCAAATCGGTCGCGACGTTTCGCGACCGATCGGTCGCGACCGAGTTTGAAGTCAAGTGGCCGCGACCGAGGCTTGCACGCGAAGCGCCATCGACAATTAGCGACCGAGCTCGTCGGTCGCGGCCAGAGAGGCCTGGCCACCGCCCCGCCCGCACACGCACCCGCCCGCACCCACCCCCACGCCCGCGGCTGGCTCCCATGCCGCTGGCATGCCGCGCGGTCAGCGGGCGTCTGCGCTCCGCCAACGCGGCCGGCAGACGGTCGGGGCGGCGAGACGCCCAGCAGACGAGCGCGGCGGCGCGGCCGCTGAGCCGCCGGCGGTGCGGCGGCGCAGGGATCGCCGGCAGGGCGGCGGCGGCGGCGGGGCGGCCGCGGCGGCGGCCTACTTGGAAGAAAGACCCAGGCTAAGGTGTGCGTTGGCTCCCTTAGGTTTTCTCGCCTCGGGATGCTTTCCAGCGGCTGCGCCTCGCCGAGAGCGTTTTGGGGGTGCCGGGATCGCCCCGTAAGGCCGCCAGAGGCTCGAGTTATGGCCAGAGGGCCAGACCTCTGGCGATACTAGTTTGTGTTGCATTCATACATTCCGAAGGGGTGTTGGTTATCTATGCGACGCCTCCGCTTCCTTACTTCCCGCCTCAACCGTCATCATATTCAGTCACCTCATACTCAGACTCACCGACACTCAGACTCAATGCACAGACAAGCGATACACATGAGCGTACCTTTACTCAGATTCTGTCGTACTCCGACGCTCACACGCTGACTCGCTCGCACCCAGACTCACTCACACTCATATGCACTCACACTCAGACTCGCACATTACACTCAGAGTCACTCGCACTGGGATGCAGTTACACTCAAACTCACCGACGCACAGACTCACTGCACTCATTTTGACTCACTGCACTGCACTCACTCGCACAGTCAACTCACAGACTTGGATTCACTCACTCCTGCACTCATTTTGAGAGTCTTCACGATCGTTCACTCTCAGACCCACTCAAACATAGATACTCTGACACTGAGGCTGACTGAGACTCAGACTCATTGAGATGTGACCCACCGTGGCCCACCGCGATATACAAGTCGTGGCACTTGGGCACCCCAGGTGTGAGCCGCCAGGGCGGGGTGCGTGTTCTGGTTGCTCAGGCTCGTCTCTTGTGAGAGCCAAGTGTGTTCCAAAAGTCCCCTGTCTCCTTAATTAAAGCTGTGCGTACACCGCCTAGCTTTTAGCGGAAGAGGTTCGCGCTCGCCCCGCAGATCAAAAAATGTGTTCATAAAGTTTGAAGGCGTGACATTTGGGCACCCCAAGAGGAGTCGCAAGGGAGGTTGCAGTTCCCCGTTCTCGGTCGGATGGTGGGGATGTCTCGGGCGGTTTGCGTGTCTGGTTGCTCAGACTCGTGCTTTTGGAGAGCCCAGTGACCACCGCGATGTAGCAGGCGTGACACGTGGGCATCCCAAGGAGGAGTTGCCAGGGGTGTTTGCACGTCCTCGCTCGCAGCCAGATTTGGGGGATTTCTCGGACGGTTGACGTGCTCAGTGGCAGGTGTCTTTGAATCACATGCTGCTCCCAAACTCTGGTTCCTCCGGGGGCGCAGTGAATGTCACCAACGCGTGCAATGTGACGGGAGACAACACCCACCCTCTTTTTGGCATCTCGGCCCAGACACCGCGACACGCAGAACAAAAACACATATCAACACATTTGCACACATACACACAGACACATGCATACACACAGGCACATGCATACACACACGCACATGCATACACACACACGCACACACACACACACGCGCACTCAAACACACTGTTTTCTCCAGAGGCGAGGTAGCTACACCGTCGCGACCGACGAGCTTGCAACGCACACACAGACACACAGACATATGTTTGTTTGACGCCGCAGCTGCGCGCGCAGTAGCGCGGCGGGGGACAAAGGCGGGAATGGAGCGCACGCGGCGGGCGCAACTCAGGCACGCACGCGTGCACACGCCCTGTTGCATGGGCGCCCACGAGTGCACGGAGTCATTCGCGCTTCGCGGCTCGGCTCCGATTTCTCCTCTCTCTCTCTCGAAGAAGAAGAAGAAGAAACGTCATAAACATAATCTCTTGGCGCTCCGCGCGGGTTTCTTGGATCCGCGCTGGGCGCTCCTGGCGGCGCCTCCGACGCCGCCCGTGGCGCGCTCCTCGCGCCAGGGAGGGGGCCCGGCGCAGATCCAAGAGATCCGCGCGGAGCGCCAAAGCTTTGTGGCGCGTTGCCTTCTTCCCCCCCCCTCCTCTCCCCTCCCCCTTCTCTTCTCCCCTTGGGGGCCAGCGCGGGAGCGCCAAGTCGTTCGCGCTCTCGTCGCAGCGCGGAGCGCGGAGCGCGGAGCGGGGCGCCCCTGCTTCTGCGGGCGGGCAGCCGAAGGAGAGGGGGGGGGGGGCGCGGGGGGGGCGAGAGGTGGGGAAGCCAGGACGAGGGGCAGTACGGTGCCCGAGCGCATGGGAACTCCCGAGGACACAGACACACACAGACACACAGACACACACATCCACACATCCGCCAATCAACACACACAAGATACACACACAAGACACACGCACACGCAAGACACACTCCCGAGGACACAGACACACAAGACACACAAGACATACACACACGTACCGTGTGTTAGCCAAAGCGCATGCAGTCCCCTGCCCCTCCCTTCCGCCGCACCCTTCCCACAGCCGAGCATGTGTGCAAGTTCCGGTCCTGCGAGATCTCTCGCGGCTCTCCCTCTCCCCTGCGCAAGTAATTTAACTTTTAATCGTAATGGTAGATAGGAAGCCGTTGTCCAGGTCTTGGTTCAACATGATTCCGCAAGGAATTGATACCGCGCGAAGCTGGCTCGTTTAGGATGAACCAGCGTATTGCTTCACAAGAAGGATTTGGCTCCAGCATGTTGCTGTATTCGTGTCGTTCCGACGCGGCAGCGACCCCATCGCAGGAGGTCAAGGCTGAACGCCGCCAGTGGCCCAGATCTAGCCGATATGGAACAGTCAGGTTTGAACGATCCACGCGGTGTCAGAAACCAACGCCAGAGTTCTAGGCCTCCCAAGCGGGGTCCGAGTAGATGGGGTCGGAGGATATGCGCCGCATCGCCGATGCATCGGCGATGCGGCTTGATGTGGAGCTCGATCCTCTCCACGCTCCATGTCGACGATGCATCGACGATGCATATGTGACGCGGCGAGATCCTCCGGCCACATCTACGTTTTAGCTGGGAACATGCCCCCATCTTGGCATCGGTTCACCTCGATGCGGATGGATCGTAAGGACTCCCTCGGCTTCTGAGGGCGCATCCCCTAAGGAGGAGGAGGAGGAGGAGGAGGAGGAGGAGGAGGAGGAGGAGGGAAGAGGAGGAGGGAGGAGGAGGAGGAGGAGGAGGAGGAGGAGGAGAGGAGGAGAGGGAAGGAGGAAGGAGGAGGAGCAGGAGCAGGAGCAGGAGGAGGAGGAGGAGGAGTCGTGCCCCCTCGTGCCCCTTTTTGCTGGGGACCCCCGCGCACTCGTGCCCAGGCGGCGCGGCTGGCCGCCCTCCTCGGCGTGCTGCCCCAGGCCGCCGCAGATGCGGGGGACGAATCCGAGCTTTTGGCCAGGGTTTTGAGCAATGACTCCTCCCTCCTCCTCCTCATCCTCCTCCTCCCTCCTCCTCCTCCTCCTCCCTCCTCCTCCTCCCTCCTCCTCCTCCTCCTCCTCCTCCTCCTCCTCCTCCTCCTCCTCCTCCGCCTCCCTCCTCCCCCTCCTCCTCATCCTTCTCGCTCTACTCCTCCTCCTCCCTCCCGCAGTGGGGCGGGCAGGCGTCGCGGGGGGGGGGGGGGGAAGGGGCGGGGCGCGATTCCGGCGTGCTGTGTGGAGAGCGGTTTCAAGTGGTTACAGTCGGACCGAGGTACACGTCGGAGGAGGAAAAGGTACCCATATCTTTACCCTTGTCTCGTTTTCCCCTTTTGGGGCCTTCTGGGCGGTTCTCGTCGCCGCTGGATTCGCCTCGAAATTCAATTCAGAAAGCACCCCAGAGGAGGTCCGTGGTTTTCCCAACGCACCATGCTCGATCTCCCCCCCTCGCCATAACGCAACGCTCCCCAGCATTGCCGCAGTGCTTCCGGGGCAGCACCGTACAGCCTGTCTCGGTGGGGGGGCGGGGGCGCTGCGTTCTGCACCCTGTCCGCGCCCCCTCTCGAAGAACAAAAAACGGCATAAACATTCAGTGGAGACCCATGCCAAGACAACACCCTGCCTGCCTCCACGGTGCCCTGGGTTTCTTGGGTTTCGATGGCTTTGCCACGGAGAGCGCGACGCTCCCGCACCAACAATCCATGGACGTCCGTGGGTCTCAGGGTTGAGTTTCTTGTGAAAGGTTTCTTGTGGGCTGGCCTCCACTGTAAAGATATGCATTAGGAGCTCCGCGCGGACTTCTTGGATCTGCGCTGGGCTCCCCCGGCGCGTCCGGCGCCGCCCTTGGCGCGCTCCGCGCGCCAGGGAGGGGGGGGAGTCCAGCGCAGATTCAAGAAATCCGCGCGGAACGCCAGACGTTGATGTTTATGCCGTTATTTCTTCGTCCACCTTCCCCACCTCCGCCCCCTTAACACCCGCTATCGCCGCGAATGAAGACATGCTCTCCCGCCCTTCCACCGGCAAGCAGTCGAGCCAAAGGCCACGTAGGGCTCTGGAGGGGCCCCGGTGTTTGGCTCGCTCAACAATCCTTTTTGTCTGGAGAACCTGCTCGTGGCCGAGGTTTCTGTGATTCTGAGTCTGGGGGCCCTCGCAGGGCCTCGGGACCGGCCAGCAGTGGCTCAGGCTGAGGAGCTGGTCCCAGAGAAGGGGTTGAGGCCTTCAAGGGGTTCACGTTGTGACAGAACTCTTGACGTCGGGGCTCTGGGGTGGGAGGGCACAACGGCTTCTGAGGTGGTTTCGAAGAATCTTCTGGCCATCTCAGCAGTTCTCCCGCCGTCCTAGAAGGTCACCCCCTCAAGTCTCTCCCGCGTGCGCGCTGCCAGCCTTGTGTGCATCCGGGGGGGCCTATTGGCCCCAGACTTTGGCGGATTGATGTTCATGCAACTCGTGGGCCGACCTTCCTTCCGACCCCAGGGCGCCGTAGTTTTCCGTCCCCAGGGCCACACGATTCGAGGACGACAGAAGTGGCTTGCTCGGATCATTGGATACCCGTTTGTTTCTGTCGCGATCGGTAGAGACCGATCGGCACTCCAAGTCTGTCGCGACCGATTTTGAAGCAAATCGTTCGAGACCGATACCGAAAGTGGATGCACAATCGGTAGCGGCCGTCTTCGTCGGTCGCGACTGGAGAATTCCACTGTCAAGTGATACGGGGAGAGGCGTCCGAGGACCGGTCGGCGACCACAGCCCCCAGACCCCCTCGCGTTGTGCGACAATAACGACGGGAGGTTTGTTTCTATCTTGGGCCTCCTTTGGGCCCTTTTGCCGGGCCTCGGGACCGTCCGAGAGCGACTCGGGATGAACAGCGGATCCCGCGGAAGGGGTCCGGGCCTCGTTGGGGCGACGTTGCGGTGAACAAATCACGCCGTCAGTGGTTTGGGAATGAGAGTGCTTACGCTGGGGTGCGGTTTGCGAACGTGGCGCCGTTGGTGCTTACGTCGGAGAGGAGAGATGCGACACCAACACCACCAGGGGGGCCCACTTCCAGCGAGACCAGGGAGACCCCCCTTTGCTCCTCGCATCTCCTCGCCCTGTTGGTGTTGGTGTCGCCTTTCCTTGTTCCTACTTATGGGATCACCACACCACGTTGCGCCCAAGGCTTCATGAGCCCTCATCGGGGCGCGGCGGAGAGCTCTGTCGAGGTCCTCGCCCGCCCTCCCCCAGGCGCGGGTTGCAAGCGGCAACCTCTGCAAACCACACCATTCGGAGCCGCCGAATCGGGGGCCGGTGACGGGTCTGGGGTGTGCTCTTGTCGGTGGCGGCAAAGGGGGTGGGGCGGCCTTCTGAGAATGCGCCCCGCCTCTCAGAAGCCCTCCTGCGCTCCCAGGGAGGGCGCCGAGCGGAAGCCCCCCGAGACAGCCCGCGCCCGCCCGCCGTCCGCCCAGTCGTGCCTGCTTGCTTTGCGCTGCCCCTGCCGCTCCCCTCTCTCCTCCGTGTCCGTAGTGCACACCCCTGGCAACGATGGCCTCTGGGATCTTTTTGCGGACCTCCGAGTTCCTGTCCGCGTCTGTTCGCTGTGTTTTCCCTGCTCGTCGTCGTCGTCCTCCTCGGAAGCCTCACGAGAGAGACAAGGCCCCTCTCAGGAGCTTCCCTGTCTTTGGGAGTGGCCCGCGACCCTCGTCCTGCCTGCCTCTTTCGGGGGCAACATTCGGCGGGGATAGGCTCAGGGTGGATGCATCGACCCCCGCTCGGCCAGTCATCGCCGACAGTCAGCCACGCGCAGAGGGGTGTAGGGGGAGAGGGGCCAGCTTCTCAGAAGCACCCCTGTTTCTCAGAAGGCGCGGGTCTTAACGCTAGACGCTAGACATCAGGCCGGCGCCCTCTAAGAAACAGCCTCCTTTCAAGAAGCCTCCCTGCACCCTTTTGTGCGCGCCGCCAAAAGGAACGTCCCGATTCGCTGTCGCGGGCCCATCGTCGATCTCTCGGCGATGTAGCGCCAGCTCCAGGTGGATATTTACCCCCCTCGGCTGGTCCCCGCGTAACGCATCCCCTCATCTTAGAAGCTGTCCTGCACTCCTGGAAGGGCGCCACTCCTGAGAGGGCGCCGAGGAAGCCTCTGAGAAGGGGCGGGTCCCTTCTCGGAAGCCCGCTGATGATTTGTTCGAAACGTCGACGTCCAGAGGTCTCGTACCATTGCCTGAGACCAGTTGTGCATCCCGAGTCATTCGTTGAAGGTCCCTCGGCCTCTGCGAGAGCCCCAGGAGCGTCCTCCCGAGTCGTCTCGTCGACGGCCCCTCGGCCCAACGAGAGCCCTAGGACGCCGAGAAGTGTAAAACATGGTCCCTCGTATTTTTTTCTCAACGCGAGGGGGCTGGATTCTTGGAGTCCCCCCCTCCTCGTCCTCCTCTTCCTCCTCCTCCTCCTCCTCCTCCTCCTTCCTGCTTCCCTTCCTCCTGTCTCCTTCCTCCTTCCCTTCCTCCTTTCTCCTTCCTCCCTCCTCCTTCCTCCTTCCTCCTCCTCATCCCCCTCCTCCTCCTCCTCCTTCTCCGCCTCGCCCGTGTTTGCTCTCTTGCGCGACGCGAGGGGGCTGGGTTCCTGGAGTCCCCCCCCCTCCTCCGTCGCCTCCTCCTTCCTCCCTCCTCCTCCTCCTCCTCCTCCTCCTCCTCCTCCTCCTCCTCCTCCTCCTCCTCCTCTTCCTCCGCCTCGCCCGTGTTTGCTCTCCTGCGCGAGGGGTCCACCGGCCTCCTCAAGAAGCTCCAGGGCCTGCCCGCCTCGCGCGGGGACCCGGTGACGCTGCTGGCCTGGGAGGTCGGGAGCCTTGAGACGGGGGTCGATGCAAACGGAGTTCAGCCAGAGCGCCCCGATCTTGCAGGATCCTGCAGGGCCAGGGTCGCATTGACCTGGGTTGGGGCGCATGATCTTGCAGGATCCTGCAGGATCCTTCGCATTGACCCGGGTTTGGGAGCAGGATCTTGCAGGATCCTGCCGGATTCTGCAAGGTCAGACTGACCCGGGTCTGGATTGACCCGGGTCAGAAGATCCCCGAGGAGGTTCGGGGGCAGCAGCAATGGGGATGCACCACCACGGGGGGTCACCAGTCACCAGTTCCTCCGGAGCATCGAGGCTCCAGGAGTAAGTCGGGCGTGACCCTCTACAGGAGGAGTATTGGGGACGTTTTTTTGTAAGTATTTTAGAACCATTTTTGGATATTTTTGACTATTTTCCATCGTTCGTCGAGAGTCCTCCTGTAGGCCTCCCAGATGGGGTCCGAGCAGATGGGGTCGGGGGATCGCGCCGCATCGCCGATGCATCGACGATGCGGCTCGATGTAGCGCCCGTGTTTCCCCACGCCGAAGTCGCCGATGCATCGCCGATGCATCACCGATGCCTCGGCGATGCCTCGGCGATGCCTTGGCGATGCGGCGCGATCCTTCGACCCCATCTACTGGGACCCCATCTGGGAGGCCTCTAGATGAGGCCGTTTGGCGTTCGGGGTCGTTTCTGGAGTTAAGTCGATCCTGTCCCTCTACAGGGGGAATATTCAAAAATAAAAAAAAAGAGTCAGGAAACTATTCTTTGAGTATTTCTGGGCATCCTTTGGGCATGATTTGAGCATTTTTATTTTCCGTCCAAACAAATGCCCTTGTAGGGGGACAGGCCCGACCTAATCCTGGGGGGCCCTGGAGCGTGGTCTGGGGCGGGCAGCTCCCAGACAGGACGGGCCGCTGCCTCTCGAGGAGGGGGCGGCCCTCCTTGTCTTGGCATCGCTCGGACGTGTGCTTTTTTTCTCGGCGAGGACCATCGAGGACCATCCTGGAGCATCGAGCAAAATAACAAAAAACAAGCACGAAACCGAAGAATGCACGGGAAATGGACGTCCGAGCGACGGCAAGTTGTCGTGACCCCCCTTTTAGCATCGCCGGGGAGGTGGGGCTGGAGCCCGGGTCCACCATCGAGGTCGACCTGCACAGCTCGGAGAAGAGAAAACGGCGTTCAACCTAAACCTTCGCGGAACTCCGCGCGAAGTTCCTGGATCCGCGCTTGGGCCCCCTCTGGAGGTCTATCTCTCTCTCTCTCTCTCTCTCTCTCTCTCCGCAGACAGGTTCACTTGCGTGGCACTCTCCCCGCCCACCCCCCCTCCGCCGCCTAGGATTGCAAGTGAGTCCCGACTTGCGTGAAGTCCAAGTTTCTGCTCGGGCCCCCCCCTTCTAGTGGAAACTTGGCTCCTGGCCGCGTCTCCGGTGCCGCCCCTGGCGCGCTGCGCGCGACAGGGAGGGGGGCCAGCCCAGATCAAAGACATCCGCGCGGCCCTGCAATCTTTAGGTGAATGCCGCCTTTTCTTATCCTCGCGGCAGCGAGCAGCTCAACGGGTGCCACGTCATGGTGCTCGCCTTGGAGCAGGTGTACGCACTGTCCTGGCGCATCAAGATGGGCCAGCTGGAGCTGGGGAGCGGCAACTCCAGCCTGTTCTCCACCCACTGGCGGGCTGTGATGCGGGACCGTGTCAGCACGACCTTCCGCGTCCGCTCGCCGTACAGAGATGTGTATTCTGTGCTGGTCTACTGCGAGCAGGTGCAGGATTTCACGCTCAGCGGCAGGCTCGGCATGGTAAACCCGCTGGGCGAGCACCTCTCGCTGCAGGAGGCCCACATGCCGGATGCCATCGGTGCGCTCTCCGTAGTCTTCTTGACCGCGGCGGCGGTCATGGCCCCCCCGATGGTGATGATCGGTGTGTGGCTCCGCAGGCGCCTCGGCTCCGGGATGCACCACGCGATAGCGCTCGCCATCTTTGCGCGGGGCCTGACGCTGTTCTGCTGGGGCTGCGACTGCCGCCGCGTGTCTCGCGCGGGGGCGAGCCCCCTCTGGTCCAGCCTGACGTGGCAGCTGCTGGACAAGGGCCAGCACGGCGTGGAGCTCCTCGTGTTCCTGCTGTTCAGCTTCGGGTGGAAGTTCTACAGGAGCGACCTCACCTGGATGGAGGTGCGCCTCCTGATGTGCCCCATGCGTGTGGCGTGGTGCAAGCGTGACGTCGTGATGTATCTCGGCTGGAGCTCTCGGCCCCTGCTCGCGTGTTTTTTGTTTCGAGGTGGACGGGTCCGTGAGGGCCTCGGGGCCCGACGAGGGGTGAACACGCCCGCCGCGACCTTTCAACGACGCAGCTCCGCCGAAATCTTCTGTATATGTCAGAAGAGTCAAAGGTACCCATACCTCTACCCTCCCCTCGTTTTCCCCTTCTGGGGTTCCCTGGGCCTCCGTCGTCGCCACCGCTGGATTCGCCTCGAAATCCCGGTCAGAACGCACCCCAGGAGAGGTCCGGGGAGTAGCGGTAGCGGTACCTGATGGTTTCCCCAATACGCAGTTTTTTTCCCTCCACAGGTACGTGGCGGTCGCCACTCTCCACCTGGGCGTGATGGAGCTGATATGCGTGGCCGTCGTCGTGAGGCAGGAGGAGTACCCGCTCTGCCCCGCGACGCTGCCAGTGGTGTCAAAGCAGGTCGCGGGGGTACAGCTGGTGCGCCACGTGCACGACTCCCTCTTCCACGTGGTGGTCATCCTGGCAACGAGCTTCCATCTGCAGACGATTCGTGCCCAGCTCGTGATAGACAGTGGCCTTCGGCCCATCACGCCAGCGTGCCTGGGTCGTGGAACAGGGGCCTACCAGAAGCCTCCTGCGGCTCTGGGCCTCTCGGATGCCTTTGCGGGGAGTCGAGCTCGAGTAAACCTAAGGACACTCCGCTCAGTGCCTCGCGGCACGGTGGCGGATCCCCAGTGTCATGGGAGCTTGGGACGCTGTACCGAAAGCAGTTGGCCTACGAACGCTTTAGGTGGATCTTCCTCGGATTCCTGTGTGCGCCTCTCGCGGAAAACGTCGTGAAGGTGTATTTTTTGCCTTGGGACGGGGAGTGGCTCTACATCGTTCTCAAGGAGATGCGAAGACTGGCGATCTACATGTGCATGTCCGCCGTGCTGGTCAAGCAGGACATGCCATCCTGGGGCGCGCTCGCATCCATAGGCAGGGCACCAAAACATGTCGTGGACAGAAACTGTTGGAGGTCCGCCCAGATTCCTTGCGCTGGCGCTATGCCATCACCCCCCCACGCCCGAAGAACTCAGCTCGGACCTCCGGGAATGTCCAGTCCCCTCTGGCGTTTCGCCCACCAGTGGTGCGGACTTCTTCCAGGGGGTCGTTGCTTTTCATCCCGAGGCGAGCCAGGAGACGCCTTCTGGAGATTGAGGGCGCTGACCAACCAGCGGTCCAGTTGTCTGTTTGGGGGATCCCCGATCAGGGATCTCGGGCCCCTGTTCTGGGAGGACGGTACTTGCATTGCAGATCGCTGTCCGTGGGTCTCTCGCGGGCTCCCCACGACAGGCCCGCGGAGGCCGAGCCCTCGTCGAAAAAGCAGACGCCGGGCGCGCAACGAATGTCTGAGGCGTCGAAGGCCCGAGTCCATGGTCGATGCGACCGAGATGGGTACACCTCCCTCCTCCCTCCTCCCTCCTCCCTCCTCCCTCCCTCCCTCCCTCCCTCCCTCCCATCCATCCTCCCCTCCCTCCCTCCCTCCCTCCCTCCCTCCCTCCTCTGGTGACCCATGTTGCCAAGAACCGCCCTGCCTGCCTCCAGGGTGCCCTGGGTGTCGTGGGTTTCGATGGTTTTGCAATGGCGAGGGTGACGCTCCCCCGCCCGGAGTCAGTGTACATCCTGGCGTCTCAGGGTTGGGCTTCTGGTGGAAGATTTCCTGTGGTCGGGCCCCCACTGCACGGGAAGAATGGGAACGACGGTGGAAAGGCCATTTCGAGCAGGACTCGTTACTGGTGTCGGCTGGGACGTGGTCCAGTTTGAGACACGATGCCGCCTGCCCAAGAGAGGCCGCTGTCGGTTGTGGGCCACATCGGTTGCCCACGCGCCGTCCGCGTCCTCCGCCTGCTTCACCTCCTCCTCCTTCTGAGGATGACGGAGCCCACTCGCCGTCCACTTCGTCCTCCTCCTTCTGAGGATGACGGAGCCCACTCGCCGTCCACTTCGTCCTCCTCCTTCTGAGGATGACGGAGCCCGGCCGAGATTCCTGCCCACGCCCAGCAACCACCCACAGCCTTCCACCTTCTCAGACATCCGTCGACGTGATGTTTTCATTCCGCTGCCGCTTCCCCAGGGACAGTGTTGCGCCCCGGATCTATGCTTGATGTTCCCAGGGCCCAGTAACGATCTCCACAGGCCGAAATCAAGGAACAACGCTTGCACTGTATCAGATTTCGTGGGCGAAAAACATATCCATATCCGCGGCCTCGCGGACTGGTCCCTTGGGCGCGACCCCGCGGATGCGTGGCGTGGTTGTTCGCGGATGCTCCGTGCAGAACGTATCCGTGCATCCGCGTATCAGCGGGACCGCGCCCCAGATTCCAGACCGCGAATGATCGTGAGGATCGTCGGAGTTTTGGGACCGTGCTCACATTGTCTGTATGGTAGGTTCGCGCCGCGTTGCCGCAGCTGTGACCCCAGCACGGGCGTTCAAGGCTGAACGCCGCCAGTGGCCAAGAATCCGCCGGTAGCGAACGATCTGCCCTGCTGGAGAGTCGTGATCATTCAAGGTCGAAATATCGACGGGGCGTCGGAGACCAGCGCTGCCGTCATCGCGGCGCGAACTTGCCGTGCAGTCGTGGCGCTGAAACTCATTCTGCGAGAAACACTGGAAACAAACCGTCGCACGTTTCAAACGGATGTACTTGCACACAGAGCTGAGCAATGCCAGCCCAAATCAGCCACATCGCGCAGGGCACGCGCGCCGAGCCGACGTGGGCCTAAGATGTTGCTAGCATGTTTCAGCGCTCGGATCGCGCATGGCGCTTCGGCCCCCCCGCGCTCGAACCACTTCGAGGCGTCCTGCCCCGAATTGAGAATTTCTCAACCATCCTGTGGTGTTGGGCCCTCGTTTTGAAGAGACGGTCCCCGCGCTCCTTTCCCCTTCTCATCCCCCTCCCCCTCTCCGTCCTCCCGTCACCCCCCTCACTTTGGCATACCCCTCGCACGTTTCGTGGCCCCATAGGGAGCTCCACCGAAGGCCCCAGTGGGAGTGCCCGCATGCGTCCCCCACACCCAGTACAGCTCCACCGAAAGCACCAGTGGGGGTGCCCGCATGCGTCCCCCCTATCCAGTACAGCGCTTCGTTGCCCCGGAGGGAACTCCACCGAAGGCCCCAGCGCTACCGCCCGCATGCGTCCCCCCCTCCCACACCCAATACAGCGCTTCGGCGCTTCGTGGCCCCATAGGGAGCTCCACCGAAAGCACCAGTGGGGGTGCCCGCATGCGTCCCCCACGCCCAGTACACCGCTCCGTGGCCCCATGCGGAGCTCCACCGAAGGCCCCAGTGGGGGTGCTCGCATGCGCCCCCCCACCTAGTACAGCGCTTCGTGGCCGCATAGGGAGCCCCACCGGAAGCACCAGTGGGGGTCCACGCATGCGTCCCCCATTCCCAAAACACCGCGTCGTGGCCCCATGCGGAACTCCACCGAAGGCCCCAGCGCTACCGCCCGCATGCGTCCCCCCCCCCCACACAGTACACCGCTCCATGGCCCCATGCGGAGCTCCAATGAAGGTCCCAGCGCTACCGCCCGCATGCGTTCCCCCCCCAACGGAGCAGCGTTTCGTGGCCCCATAAAGAGCTCCACCGGAGGTTCCAGCGCTACCGCCCGCATGCTATCCCCCCACCCAGGACAGCGCTTCGTGGCCCCATACGGAGCTCCACCGACGGCCCCAGTGCTGCCGCCCGCATGCGCCCCACCACCCAGTACAGCGCCCCGTGGCACCATACGCAGCTCCACTGAATGTCCCAACGCTACCGCCCGCATGCGTTCTCCCCCAGTCACTCATGCGCTTCGTGGCGCCCCATAAGGGGCCCCACCGAAGAAACACAGTTGCGGTATTCACAACTGCATATGGTTGGTCCTTCGCCAGGACAAGTTTAATGGGTGAAGGTCGGGCGGGTCTCAAAATTTTACAAAAAATAGAGTGCACACACTGGGCGTTTCCCTATGGCGGTCTGAAGCGGCTTCGAAGTACCAGCAAGATTTCGGCGCCGCGGACAGCCGTGCGTCTCACATGGTCCCACAGTGCCACGAAACTGTCGGCGCCGAGGGCATCCGCACGCTGCACAAGGTCATGAAGTGCCGCGGAACCCGCGGTGCCGAGCACATGCACGCGTCTCACCAGGCCTCAAAGTGCCGCGAAACCCTCGGGACAGAGCACATCCGTGCGTCCCACATGGTCTCACAGTGCAGCGAAACCGTCGGCGCCGAGCGCACCCGCGCGCCTCACAAGGTCCCGAGATGGCACGGAACCTTCGGCGCCGAGCACATGCGCGCGCCTCAGAAGGTGTCACAGTGCCGCGACATCCCTGGCGCCGAGCACATCCGTGTGTTCCACATGTTTTCGCACTCCCACGAGAACCCTGGTGCCCAGCGCATCAACGCCCTTCACACGGTCTTGAAATGCCACGACACCCTTGGCGCCGAACACATGCGCGCGTCTCACAGGGTGTCAAAACAGCCACGGGGCCTCAGCTCCGAGCACATCCGTGCGTTTCACATGGCCTCGTAGTGCCACGAAGCCCTCGTCGCCGCGCGCATCCACGCATCTCGCAAGCTCCCAAAACGCCGCGCAAGGTCTTGGCGCCAAAAACACCCGCGCGTTTTACACGGCTGGCGAAAAGAATGACAAAGTACCCCGCGCAGCCAACGAGCAGAGGACCAAGGTTAATGCAGGGCGCGCGCGCGTCGCGCCCCGACGGCGCGCCGCGTCCCGATGGCGGTGATTGTTCCCAACCATCTTGTGGCGTTGGGTTCTCGTTGTAAAGAGACAGCGCCCCGCGTCTTCTCCTCTGTTCCTTTTCCCCCTCCTCCCTCCTTCCTCCTCTCCCTCCGTGCTTCCAGCCTCGTCAGTGCGCGCCTCCCCAACCCGGCACAGCGCTTCGCGGCCCCATAAGGAACGCCACCGAGGGCCCCAGTGGCTGCATTCGCATGCGCCCCTCCCGTCCAGCACAGCGCTTCGTGGCACCATAGAGAGCTCCGCCAAAGGCCCCAGTGGGTGCACTTGCATGCGTCCCGCGCGCCCATCCAGTACAGCGCTTCGTTTCGCCATAAGGAACTCCACTGAAGGCCCCAGCGGCTACGCTCGCATTCGTTTCTCCCACCCAGTGCAGCGTTTCGTGGCCCCGCGGGGAGCTCCACTGCATTCGCATGCGCCCCCCCCAGCACAGCGTTTTTTTTCCCCAGGAGGAGTTCCACCGAAAACCTAAATAGCTGCACTCGCATGCGCGTCCCCCGCCCACTGTAACGCTTCGTTGCCCCATATACGGGGCCCCGCCGACGGTTCCCAAGCGGTTGCTTCCCAAGTGGTTTCCCAGGCCAGCGGGCTGTCTGTCTTTTCCTTTCCCCTGCGCTGCGAATCCGCAGCCGCATTTTGTTCGATCACCATTCCGCAGCCATGGTCGGCGGCAGGCCGAGGCAATGGGTGGTTTGCAAGAATTGCCCTCGCAGCTGGGTATTTATCGATGCTGGCATGCGTCAGTGCAAGCATTGTGGCGCCAACTTTCAGCCGCCAAATGGTTGGCCCCATAAGAAGGGCAAAGGGGGGTGATCAAGGAGAAGCTGGATTTGCGTCGCCATTCCAACATGCAGCTGGAGCGAAACAATCATATTGGTTTAAGCACTGCCACAATCGGTATGGAGGCGCTACCCCTCCACCCAAGTTGTCGCTTCAGCCAGAAGGAGATGGAGATGACGACCAACAGCAGGCAGCTACAACTGCGGCAGCAGATAAGATCCACAGACAGATCGAGTCTCTTGGGAAGTACATCGCCTACGCCAGCTCAGTCACCGAGGATCTCGCCCCAGGTCATGAGCAGAGTCTCGCAGCATCCAGACAGAAGCTTACGCAGCTCAAGGAGCAGGCCGCGGTACACCTGCCCCATCACAATCAAGTTCATCGCGCGACTGTCCGCGTCAAGAGAGCACGAGACA